TTGTTTTATCCCGTTGGTTAGATGAAATGAAACCAAGAAGAGTGATAGGTGACAAAGGTGCAAAATGTTGTTTATTATTCGGTGTTTCGTAATAAACACGAGATGAACAATTAGAAAGGATCGGAAAAAATAAACGACACCTTAACGAGCGCACGAAGTCCCGCAACATTCCATGTGATGATCTTGAGACATCCGTTTCCTTTCATATCTGCAGAATCAATGATTTGATCAGAGTCACTTTCAGTTTGAATCCCTTGATGAGTTTCGTAAATTGCTTCACACGTTCCATTCACACTGCTCGTTTCCTGTTCTGTTTCAGCTTTTGCCTGAGATTTCTGCTTACGTTTCGGACTCGGTAAAGTTTTAGCAGGAGTCAACTCGACTTTTTTGGATTTGGGACCCGATGAAGCACCACCACTTTTCACAGTTTTGAGAGGTTTCTTGCGTATCTTTTTTACGGCTTTCTTCGAATTGCCTTTTTTCACTGCGGTCTTTTGCTTACTCGTATTGTTATTGTCAGCGATCTTCGGCGCATCTTCTTTTGCTGTACTCTTGATTTTCTTAGCCTTAACCATATTAACTTTGTCAGTATCTGAAGTTCCATTTATGAACAAATTCATCCATATAAATATCCGACAAAAAGTCATCGCAATACAAGAACGCTAATTTCCTGTGCACAAAACGAATTCTCCAACACGAACAGCTGGACAATAACTGCAAACTAGCATTTCCTAACTAAGAAGGTGGTGCCGTGTGGAAACACGTAGTAGTCCAGAAACGACCGTAGGAAATTTCATCGCCTGGTCTGGTGACTGAGGCTGATTTTTTAAGCACTTTTGCTGTTAGCGTGCACCACCGCACATATGTGCTTAGGTTACCAATTTGCCCGATGTGTATGTATGCAATTCGAAATCGAATCAGGAGTATGCTTAAGCTCAGACTTACGCTTAGCCCAGTGATGAGGCTAAAGCATAGGCTTCGGCTCATGTGTGAAGCTTATGACCATAGGAGCATCAGTGATGGCGCGGTGGCGACCGTTATCAGCAAAAGTACCGAAATGCCGCTGATTGGCCTCATGTTCAATGTATGACCGTGAACTGGGGCAATCATCATTGGAGACTGATCAAGATAAACACGAAAAGGAATGAAAACAATGTCATATAAAAAAGATAAATGAATAAACAGAATAAAAATGAAAACAATCAAGATAACATGCAAAAAACAAAAAAATAGGAATGAAAACAATGCAATGTCACAATTTTCAGATTCCCGCCTTTAAATTGCGCCATATGGCGCAATGTCTTTTCGCCAAACCTCGTCGATCATTTCATTTACTTTGATTTTGTCTCTTAAGTTGTTTTATTTCCAGAAAAGTTTATTGTTTCAATACTTGTGATCAATTTCTCGCATTCTTTTCACTTGATTTCTTCCGCGTTAATCAGATGAAGGAAAAAAGTGGTGTGGTAAATTGCATCTGCGCGGTAAATTCGCCGAAAATTTCGTGAAATTGAAGTAAAATTGATCTTGAACTTCAGATTGAAAGCTATCAAAATTTGAATCGCTGCAAAGGAAGATCACACTATCGAATTGTTATCACATCAAGTGGGTTATGAAGGATGGACAGTGAAAGTGACAGTTTGGTTTCTGATATACCTTTGCCGTGTGTTAGTGCCGAACCTTCACATGAGCGACGAACGACCGTTAATCGCAAACGATCATATCAACGTCCAGTTCCGTTCCTCTACTCCGAAGGTTCCTAACTATAATTTACTC